TTGTGGATCCTTCCAACAATTTTTGTTCATATATCAACATATGTATGAAGATATTTTCATTAAGAGACACCATACAAACGGGAACATTTTATATATATTTCCCTACCTTGGATTATTTTCCTTGACATGTAATGCCTTGCATTGCTGGTATTCAACAAATATTTGTTGAGTGATTGAATAACCATACATTGTTATTAGAATAGAATATATTCTATTAAAAGATACACAGTATTTTGTTATATGGATGTGCCCTAATTGGTTGGTTATGTCTGCTATTGAAATGCTGATAGATTGTTTTCTAGTCTTTTTGATTACAAACAATGCTTTCATATATTATATGTTTGACTATTCTGCATCCTTTGCATTTCTGAGTCCCTAAAAGTGAATTTTGAGATATGCTCGTCAACTTTTGCAAAAAACCAACTGGGATTTTGATAGGAATTGCATTGAATCTGTAAATCAACTTGGGGAGTATTGTCATTTTAACAAAATTAAGTTTTCCAACCCATGAACACAGGGTGTCTTTTTATTTATTTAGGTCCTCTTTAATCTCTTATGATGTTTTATAGTTTTTAATTTATAAATTTTGTACTTTTATTACATTTATTAGTAGGCATTTTATTCCCATTGATGTGATTGTGAATAGAATTATTAATTTCATTTTCATCTTAGTGCATATCTTTGAACATAGCTTTTCCCTCCCACCCAAATGAATGAGTGTATCTGTCAGATTAATTCCTAAATGTGGAGTTGCTGGGTTAAAGGGTGTGTATATTTTAGATAATATTTTGATATATGTTACCAAATTGGCCTCCAAAGAAGTTGCCCCAACTCCTATCAACAGATTTTAAGAGTTACTTTAATAAGCTATTTTTTGTACTATGTATTATGAAATTTTGAACCTTACCAATCTTGTGAGAGAAAAATGATATCTTCTTTGTTTAATTACATTCATCCAGTTACAAATATGGTTGTATTTTTTGCATGTGGACTCTCTTTTTTAAGGCCTTTGCCCAGTTTTTCTATTTGCAAATAACTTGTTAATATTCATGTATCAAGAGATTTGGATTTTGGGAGGTTAAACTAATTTTTAAGATGGCATAATTTAGAGTCATTGGAAGTGAGTATTTCAACTTGATGAAACAAGCGGCAGAGAGCTGGATTTGTAGCCATAGCTCCATAAGACTCTACTTGTCTGCACTCGTGTACTTTTGGCATTGGAGTCTGGCCAGTCAGGTTACAGTGAATAAAACAAGCATTTACTGAATGTCTAATTGGTGTTAGAAACCCTATTATAGTAATGAATGGAGACTGTTCTGTCTTCCTGGGTGCTCACAGTCTGGTGCAGAAAACTGATATCCTGATGGAGGGAGGGATTCATTTGGCCCATTTTTAACAGAGACATGTTCAAAAGTGTCAACAGTTTTTGACACTTTGGCTTGGTTTTGAAGGCTGGTTCTGCTAGGTTGACAAATAAAGTGGGGGGAGTTCAGGCAGATGATAAATCAGGAGCAAAGGCCAGAAGAAAGTTTTGGCAAGTTTCAGGAGTGCTGTGGGGTTGGTGGGCGTTGGAGTATACCTCTAAGTGGTGGAACTGGTTAGAAGTAGGGCCAGGAAGGTAGGTTGAAGCCATGTTGTCCAGCTTGAATGTCAGGGTAAAGAGTTTAATTTTTGTATTTTTGACTCTGGAGGACATCAGTGTTGTTGTTGTTTATTTATTTATTTTTAAGATTATTTATTTATTTGAGAGAGAGAGAAAGAGAGAGCAGGAGTGGGGAGGAGGGGCAGAGGGAGAGGGAGAAGCAGACTCCCTGCTGAACAGGGAACCTGAGGTGGAGCTCGATCCCAGGATCCCGAGATCATGACCTGAGCTGAAGGCAAATGCTTAACCAACTGAGCGATCCAGCACCCCATGGACATCAGTGTTTTTGAGGTCTGGGATTTTAATGTGGAGGCCCAGTCAATTAGTAATGGTGACAATGATGGTAAGATTTCTAAGAGTCATTTAAATATTACCTTCCTTAGCTCCACAAATTCTGTGTGAGGGTCTGTTAATAGTGATTTTTACAGATTTGAAACTCAGTTTTCTTAATAGTATACCTAGAACATTAAATGATTATTTTTACATTGGTTTAAAAAAAATCATTTTTCCGCTTTCTATTTTGTATTGGATTCTTGGGTTTTATTTAGACGAGGAGTTATGCGCTCAAATGCCTCAAGTTCTGGATGGCCCTATAAATGACAGTGGTTGCCCAGTGAAAAGGGTTCGTTTTACCTGTGTGTGTGGGGACTGGTCAGAGCTCAGGCATTGTCTCAAGGGGGCATTAACTCAGTCTTATTAGAAGCTGGACCTGAGTGTTGGTAGAGCCTCTCATTTTTATCTGAATTCTCCCGGTATCCGAATATTGGCTCAAAAATTGCAAAATACTGGGCAGGCCTAACGAAACATCTGGCTTGGGTCACCAATCTGCCTTTATTGTAGGTGTTTATTCTAGCATTCGAGACCAGCCAAAATACTTAGGTAATTTAAGATTAAATCTCAATGCTATATAGTCTTCATCCTCTAGGGAAGAGACAGTCAAGACTCTTAAAAGAATTGCCATTCTGAGGATTAGAAGTATGATCACTTTTCATTAGTTTAGATGCTATCATTTAGGACCACACGAAGGAGGAAGATATTGTTTATGTGATGTGGGAGAGTCATGAGTATGGAGCGGAAGGCAGATGATAGCTGGGTTTTTTTGGGGGAGGGGAGATTTTAGAACTTCTAATAAGTAAATTTGTTTGCCAAAATCGAAAACATTAGAGAGTTTTAAGAACTTTAAATTTTAAAGCTGTCCAGAGAAAGACAAATACCGTATAATTACACTCATATGTGGAATTTAAGAAACAAAACAGATGAACATAGCAGAAAGGAAGGAAAAATAAAATAAGATAAAAACAGAGAGAGAGGCAAACCATAAGAGACCCAGCTATAGGGAACAAACTGAGGGTTGTTGGAGAGGAGGTGGGCGGGGGGGTTGGGGTAACTGGGTGATAGGCATTACAGAGGGAACTTGATGTAATGAGCACTGGGTGTTACATGCAACTGGTGAATCACTAAATTCTACCCCTGAAACTAATAATACACTACATGTTAACTAACTTGAGTTTAAATAAAAATAAAAAAAATAAAGATGTCCAGAGAAATAAATTTTGATATGAAAGATATTTATTTTCAGAAGACAACTTATTTCTCGAAAAAACACAAAGCAAGATTTGAAAACTTAAAAGTCTATTTTGTATCCACTTTTTATAACTCAAAAAGAAATGGCCAAAATGCTATTTCAGGTTATTCAGGATCCTTCTTTATAGAAGTAGGAGACCAAATAAAACATGATTCTGTGAGGTCTGTTCATCTCTATGGGTCTTAATATTGAAATGAACAACTTGTTTTTAGGCAAACAGATGGTTTGAATTTAATTTTTAATAGCATATATGCTATGAATTATCAGAAGGTAATATGAATTAAAATAGCATTTCAATTTTTTCACTTTGGTTTGGTGGGAGAAACCAGTATTGATTAGATCAAATAAAATACAACGGGTAAGCCTGTGCTATGTAGTAACCTAATACCTTATAGATACTAGGAATTATTATCAAAGTGATTATATTTTTGCCTCTATATTTTTTCTTCTATTATTGGGGAGGTTGGGAAAATGTTTTAAGATAAATAAAAATATGTATATACAAATATTTTATTTATTTACTTAATTTATCTTTCATAAAGCACCACATCATATTCCCTGTACAAATCAACACTAATAAATAGAAGTTCCTTTTAGAGCCTTTGAACAATTAGAACACATTTTTTTCATTATTAATGGAAAATGACAAACTCACCAGCCTATTTGTGCAAATTTCCTGATTCATCATCTTAATGTAATAGTCCTGGAGGCGGCAGCAGCCTTAAGTAAAACTGCCATTTATGTAGAGAAAGATTATTATTGTAGGTTGCTTGGATTATTATGCTTTGGCAAAAGGATACAAAAAGAAAATGCTTTGTCAACATGAAGCTAAAGGAAATACAATGATCAGCATGGAACATAATCAGATTTACAAATTTGTCTTTACCAATTATTTTATACATGTTTTCAAATTCTATCTTTCAACAACACTTTTTCCTGATTATAAAAGCAAATCATACTTATTGAAAAGATTTTGAAAATACTAAATCCAACCAAACAAAAAGCAAAAATAATCATCCGTAATCTCATCATCTAGAGATAATAACTGTGTAAGGAAAGTAGTGGATGGACTCTGAAGTCAGACACATCTTGGGTTTGAGTCAAGTCTTTTCTACTTACTGTTTGTCTTTAAAAGTTAGTTACTTGACTTTTCTATGTTTCAGCTTTTTCATCTATAAATTGGGGATAGTAATAGAATTTACCTTATAGGATTGTTGTGAGGTAATGCATTGAAAGTCTTTAGTAGACCTTTGCACATGGTAAATACTGAATCTACTACTTACTGTTGTTTTTTTGTTAGTCTTTTTTCCAAGCATATATTTTTATTTATAGTTAAGAACATATTGTATACTTTTTTCCCATATAACATCGTATCATATGCATTTTCTTGTGTAATTTCCAGTTGATAAACAGCCTTATCCTAAATCATTGACCATATTACCAGTTGTTTCTTTAGGCTAAATTTCTAGATATCCCAGACCAACTGATGGCAGCCCACTGAGCTTACAGGAATATTCTAGCAGGAAATGATAGATTCTGGAGTTTTAATTTCCAACCATGACCTGATGGGGAAGATCATGTGCCTCTTTGGTGTGATCATTAAGCTCTGTGGGAGTTCAGTGAGTAGTGAGGAAATATATAAGATGATGATGAGGGAGGATTCTGGAACCTGTCAGACCACATTTGAATCTTGGTTCTGTGACTTGGGCAATATGTTTAACTTCCCTGGGCCCCTCCTGTCCAGTGAGGTGTAAAAATAATATCTATTTCATAGGGTGGTGAAGATGAACTGGTTTGATATCGAATCCTGACATATGGTAAGCACTTAATGAAATTAGCTCTTTATTGTTTGTTATATTCAACACTTAAAGTTTGTTTTTATAATTAAATGTGAGAGAATGGCAGTGGTTTTCACAAGTAATGTGAGAATGTGAATTGTAAGACAGAAGATAAGGCAATACAAATATTTTTAGTGTAAAATGTTATTTTCCCCCTATTTCAAATGTAACAAATAGTTATCTGTTCTAAATTTATTATCCAGAGACAACAAAGGAAGAGGCATTTGATTTAATAAACCTTATGAGGAAATTTTAATAGTTTTTTCAGTGATTCAAAAATGGAATGTGATTTTTATCCAAATTATTCTTGTTAAAAGATGAATATGCTTTATGTTATTTCTTTTTTTTGCATCTTTTTTTAGAATGCATCTTTCAACTAGGATCTTTTTTTATTTTTTATTTTTTTTATTAGTTTCAGAGGTAGAATTTAGTGATTTATCAGTTGTATGTAACACCCAGTGCTCATTACATCAAGTGCCCTCCTTAATGCCCATCTCCCAATTATTCCTTCCCCCCACCCACCTTCCCTCCAGCAACCCTCAGTTTGTTTCCTAGAGTTCAGCATCTCTTATGGCTTGCCTCCCTCTCAATTTTCATCTTATTTTTCCTTCCCTTCCCCTATGTTCATCTATTTTGTTTCCCAAATTCCACATATGAGTGAAATCACGTGGTATTTGTCTTTCTCTGACTGACTTATTTCACTTAGCATAATACCCTCTAGTTCCATCCACCTCATTGCAAATGGCAAGATTTCATTCTTTTTGATGGCTGAGTAATATTCCATTGTATATATATACCATATCTTCTTTATCCATTCATCTGTTAATGGACATCTGGGCTCTTTCCATAGTTTGGCTTTTGTGGACATTGCTGCTATAAACATCAGGGTGCATGTGCCCCTTCATATCACTATTTTTGTATCCTTTGGATAAATACATAGTAGTGAAATTGCTGGGTCATAGGGTAGCTCTATTTTTAACCTCCATGCTGTTTTCCAGAGTGGCTGCATCAGATTCCATTCCCACCAAGAGTGTAAGAGGGTTCCCCTTTCTCCACATCCTTGCCAACATCTGTTGTTTCCAGAGTTGTTAATTTTAGCCATTCTGACCAGTGTGAGGTGGTATCTCATTGTGGTTTTGATTTGTATTTCCTTGATGCGGAGTGATGTTGGGCATTTTTTCATGTGTCTGTTAGCCATTTGTTTGTCTTCTTTGGAGAAATACCTGTTCATGTCTTCTGCCCATTTCTTGACTGGGTTTTTTATTTTTTTGGGTGTTGAGTTTCTTAAGTTCTTCATAGATTTTGGATACTAGCCCTTTATCTCATAAGACATTTGCAAATGTCTTCTCCCATTACATAGGCTGCCTTTTAGTTTTGTTGACTGTTTCCTTGCTATGTTAGTGCTTTTTAAAGTTAAATTTAAGCAGAACCCCTGTAAATAATAATACTAGCATTTATAAAGTGCTTGGCATATACTAAACAATGGACTTGGTATTTTACTTATATTTACTCATGTGATGCTTACAGTGTCCTATGAGTTAGGTTCTATTATTGTCTCCATTTATAGAAGAAACTGAGGCACAAAGTGGTTAAATCACTTGCTGAAGGTTATACAACTAATGAGATAATTCTGTCATATGTAGTCTTGCCCCAAAGACCATGCTTTTAACCTTCCATTCTGTTACTTAACATTCCAGTAGAAAAAGAGTCATAATTGATTAAATACAATACCAGTATGTTTACAGTGAGTTTGTTAACCCAAGAATTTGATTAATAATAAATTCAAGAGTAAGTTTTTTGAAATTCAACTATTTTGTGGAAATGCATTTATGAAAATTTCAATTAATCTTTTTTTCCCTTTCAGTTTTTCAGTTATGGAACAAAAATATTGTATCAAAACAATGAAGCTTTGCAGTCTAAATTCTTCCTACCCCTTCAAAAAGCCATGCTGCCACCTAATAGCTTTCAAGGAAAAGTGGCGTTTCTCACTGGGGGAGGTACTGGCCTTGGTAAAGGAATGACAGCTCTTCTGTCCAGCCTAGGTGCTCAGTGTGTGATCGCCAGCCGGTAAGTCACGCTCAGCGAGTTGCCTGGCAAGAGCTATTATAAAACAATTCTGTGCCATGATTTTGAAAACACTCTTTGCCAGAGTGTTTTGTTTTTCATCTTAATTTTCTACGAAATATCCTTTAGATTATTTAAATAAATTTCCTTGGAAAAATCAGTTACAATTTGTAATGGTAGAAATACAGATGGACCGTGATTTACATTGATTCAATTTAGGATTTTTCGACTTTACGGTGGTGTGAAAGTGATACATACATTCAGTAGAAACTGTACTTGAAATTTTGAATTTGGAACTTTTCCCAGGCTAATAATATGTGGTAAGATGCTCTTTCATGATGCTGGCAGTGAATCGCAGCTCGCAGTCAGCCACTCAATCATGAAGATAAACAACCGATAACACAACCGTTTTGTACCCAGACAACCTTTCTGTTTTTCACTTTCAGTACAGTATTCAATAAGTTTACATGAGATATTCAACACTTTATCATAAAACAGGCTTTGTGTCAGATGATTTTGCCCAACTATAGGCTAATTTAAGGTAGGCCAGGTTAAGCTATGATGTTCAGTAGCTTAGGTGTATTAAAATGCATTTTCACATTATGGTATTTTAAACTTATGATGGGTTTACCATGGGTGTAACCCCACTGTTATGTTGAGGAAGATCAGTAATGATTGATTATGGAACTGATGATGTATACATTTCCCAAATTCAGTGATAAAATTTTTTTTCTTGTACCTGAAGCTTAAGTTAAAAAGTACTGTGTTGAGGCTGCTTTGTTTTCAGTAGGAGTGATTATAGTTACTGCTTCAAAGGATAGTTAGCCTTGTACTAGGATAATGGATATAATCCTTCCATTTTCTGTAAGATGGGCTGATGTTTCAAAACATCTATTGTGATAAATGTAAGAAGGATAAGGCCATGTAGATGGAATTTCTTACTTGGGCATATCCTGGGGACCCTATAACTATGTAAGTCTAGAACTTTAGAGACTGGTCAAAAAAATCTACACCTTCTTCCTATTTTGAATAGTGTAAAATTTTTAGATAAGCTGAATAAGAATCTGAATGACAAGTCACTATGTAATTTACAAAGGGCCAAAGGAATTTCTTTCAGATGTTTCCTTTAATGCAAATTGGCCAGAATATTTTTTTAAATATTATAATGTTTTTACAAATATTAAAATATTATTTTCTTTGTAACACTACATAATTTATTTTTCATATTTATTTCAAGAGTATAAAACAATGCATATAATGCTTTTTTATCCTTAAATTCAGTCTAAAATCTACTAACATAAATTTTATACATATCAGATTTTATATAGTATTAGTTCACGTTGTGTTTTCTTTCTAAAGGAGGCTTGGGCAAGGGAACAGAAATTATTGTAATTAAGGAAATAATTTTATTTATTTTATTTTTCATGTTTCAAGTTTTTATTTAAATTCTAGTTAGTTAACATATAGTGTAATATTGGTTTCAGGAGTAGAATTTAGTGATTCATCACTTACATATAACACCTAGTGCTCATCACAGGTGCCCTTTTTAATACCCATCACCCATCTAGTCCATCCCTCACCCACCTCCCTCCATCAACCCTCAGTTTGTTCTCTATAGTTAAGAGTCTCTTATAGTTTGCCCCGCTCTCTCTTTTTTTTTCCTTCCCCTATATTCATCTGTTTTGTTGCTTAAATTCCACCTGAGTGAAATCATATGGTATTTGTCTTTCTTTGACTGACTTATTTCTCTTAGCATAATACTCTTAGTTCCATCCACATTGTTGCAAATGTCAAGATTTCATTCTTTTTGATCATTGAGTAATATTCCATTATATATATATGTGTATACATACACACACACACATACATACATGCATACCGTATTTTCTTTATCCATTCATCAGTTGATGGACATTTGGGCTCTTTCCATAATTTGGCTATTGTTGATAATGCTGCTATAAACAACAGGGTGCATGTACCCCTTTGAATCAGTATTTTTGTATTAAGGAAATAACTTTAAATCTGTGTGTAGATATAAAACAACTAGTTTAAAAGTAAATAATTCAATAATTGAATATTAGATATATAAAAATTGTAGGAATTTAACTTTTAGAAAGTGAATTCATTCAAACTGATTTGTTTATAGATATAGCTTTTGTATTTTGTCAAGATTGCATCTGTTTAAGCTATAGATTCTCTTTGTTTTTTAATTTATGGAATTGAAAAAATATGAAGTCATTTCAGAACTCATGCAAAGTACTGTGTGTTTATTTCTAGGAAGATTGATGTTTTAAAAGCGACTGCAGAACAAATTTCTTCTCAAACTGGAAATAAGGTACATTAAAAAGAGTTATTTAATTCAGATTTAGGAATTAAAGCATGCTTAAATAACTTATTCATGTTTTTGGTTTAAGAAGCTTGAAAAATTTAGGATTCCTTTTTCTCTCTGATATTTTCCAGGTTCATGCAATTCAGTGTGATGTGAGGAATCCTGAAATGGTGCAAAACACTGTGTCGGAATTGATCAAAGTTGCAGGACATCCTGATGTAAGTGTAATGGTGATGAGGCCAAAGTATGAGGTGTTTGATGTTGATGCCACCCACCAAAATGTGCTAAGGATGCACTAAGGAAATAAAATACTGATGTGAGCAAGTGCTATGTTGAGAAGCATGTATTTTTTGTCCTTAGGAAAGATCCAGCTTTGCTCAAAGCAGGGAACAGATTAGGTGAACTGCTACACCATTGCCTTTCGGAGATACTTTAAAAATGCATTTACAGTCATATAGAACAAACTTGATTTCACTTTATTTAATAAGATTATGAAATAAGAAGAGCAGTTATCCAAGAGCACAATATCTAGTTTAAATGATGCATGCTCTTTGCTTTTCCTAATAACTTTTGATTATCTCTATCAGTAGAGAAGAATGGTACAAGTAGGGAAATCTATAAGATACTCCAAATTTTTCCTTTTAAGACATGAGATGTGCATGGGTATTTTGCTGTTTTCTGGTTCACATATTGGAAAGAAGCAATTTCCTCCAGTAGTCTCAAAGAGAGCACTGTTCTAAGTTAAAGATATTTTCAGACAGACCAAGAATATTGAATCTGCTAATAGAACTAGGCAGAATCTTTATTGATAGTGAAGAAACATGTTATCAACCAAGAGTTTCATTGGGTAAATTAAGCCAAACTGTCACCAGAAATTAAAAGACATTTTGAGATTCCTTGAAATACAGATAGACAAATGGTAGATATGCTTAATCTGTATTTGTTTTCTTAATGATAGATTCTACCCTAGTTTTGAGACAGGGATTAGGATTCTGAGATTTGGTAGATAACACAGGAGATTTTCACAGACTCAAAAAAAGTAAAACCAAACCAAATCTCATGGTATTATTTTATAGCAGACTATCAACTTTAGCTTTATTGTATTATTTGGATTAATAAGTTTTAGAAGTAAAAACTCTTCAGGGAAAATGTTCTTCCTTATCTAAAAAATTCTATTATTTGCCTTACTCATTTAATAGATTGTGATAAACAATGCAGCAGGGAATTTTATTTCTCCCACTGAAAGACTCTCTCCTAATGCTTGGAAGACCATAACTGACATAGTTCTAAATGGTACTGCCTATGTGACACTAGAAATTGGAAAGCAACTAATTAAAGCACAGAAAGGTATGTTTATTAATTTTTCGTATATTTATCGGGTCCCTACTGCACACAGGTTCTATGATAAGCCCTGGGATATTTTCAAAAGTCAATAGGACAGTGTCGATACCTGTACAACTCATAGTCTAATGGAGAAGATAGATACTAAAATAATTACCACATGCTATGATATGAGCTATAATAAATACATATTTTGTGTGTATTGGAAACCCCAAGACAGGAATGACTAACTCTCCCTAGGGATGATTATCAGGTTGAGGAACAAGGTGCAACTTGGGCTGAATTTTCAAAGATCTAGATGTGGAGAAGTGGGGGTGGAAGGAAGGTGGGAGGTAAATGTAAATGTCCATGGAAAGAGGCCTGATGGAGGAGAAAAATGAGGTTTAGGGATTGATGACAAATGTGATGTGGTTAGAGATGAAGAGGGAGAATGGTGGGAAATGACTATTTGGAGGTGGGTTGGGTGTAATTAGGAAAGTTCCCAGTACCAAAATAGAAAATTTGATTTTAATTCTGAAGGAAACGGGGAGTTATTTCCTTATGGATTTCTCTTGAAGGTGTTTCATGAAGAAAGTGACTTGATTGGAAAGGATACTGGCAACAGTGTGGAGGATGGAAAAGATTAGGGAAGCCATTCCGAAGGGTTTGACTTTTCTCTTGGCATGTGGCTGCATGACAAAATCAACAGGCCTTACTGATTAGATGAGAGAGTTTGTGCTGAGTGAATAGTTTGGATGATGATGACATCAATGTGGTTGAGAACACCGGGGAGAATAGATCTAGAGGGAAATTCCTAGAACATTTTTGTTTAGTACTATGTACAAACCTTATAAAAGTTCATGCAATATAAGTAGTAAATATATGTATAATATATGTATGTATGTATATACTTATATGTCTAGAATCAGTGTATATATGTTCATTTAAGCGACATTTACTGATGACTTTTGTGTAGCACGTCTTGTATGCCCAAAGGACAGAGATGGACAAATCTCTGTCCCTGAACAAGGGGAATGGGTTGGGACTTGAAAGATAGGGGTATTTCTCAGGGTGGAGCGTATTCTGAGCAAGGAAAAGGAAGAAGAATCCTTGTGTTCCTTGAAGGATGTCCTTTGGGTCTTGAGGGGAGAAGAGAAGGCATGGAGCTGGCCAGTTTCCTTCCTCTGGTTCAGAAGTCTTTGCCTCATTAGATTCAATTTCTTCTTCTTTTAAAAAAATTTTTAAAAAGATCTTATTTATTTATTAGAGAGAGAGCAAGCACAAGCGGGGGGGGGCAGCAAGGAGAGGGAGA